GCTATGCAAGTTTATCTGGATAGGCCCTAAGGATGCCGTCCCATGGGCACGGAAAACGGAATCGGAACGGAATCAGAAAAGTGAAATAGTGGGACAGCCAATCAGCATCGTTCCGAAAATTTCATAGCTTTCTGTTCCGATTTTGAACACCTTGGTTCCCCATGGAGCATATTTTTCAGGAAACTGTTCTAATCTTATTTTTTTCAATTTGATAATTTTTCATCATTTTATTTAATTAATATGTGTTAATAATCATTTATAATTTTTTATCATTTAATTCAATTAATATTAATAAAATAAAATGAAAAATTGTCAATTTAAAAAAAATATAAAGTTAAAACGGATTCCATTTCTTGAAAAATATGCTCAATGGTGAACCAAGATGCTTAAAATCGGAATGGAAAGCTATGAAATTTTCGGAATGATGCTGATTGGCTATCTCTATCATTTCACCTTTCCGATTCCGTGTCCATGAGACGGCATTCTTACGTGATGTGAAGTGTGGGTTTGAAAATTTCTTTCTGGTTACATACAAATAAAATAAAAAAGATACAAAAGATTTAATTATTGCGAATACAGATTATGTTTCGAATTATACAAATTCGACATGGATTTAATTGCGATATCTACTCTCAGCTGTATTCTGGATAACATCGTACCATTCCTGATTAAACTCGTGAGTATTTTGAGACCTACACTTTTGCGTTTTTATAAATAAAAAAGAATTATACAATTTGGACCCCCTTCCCTTACTTTAAATATGGAAAAATTTTTTTTTACAAGATTATTTGGCGCATTTTTGCAAGGAAACGAAAGAATTTGGCAGAAATAAGCATCGCTCTGCCCCGCGAAGTGAAATATTAATTGTTAATGTTGACTGTTCAGGTTAGAAAATTTGTCATATCGACTAAATATAGCTACATGCACATGCTCTCTGGCTACAGGCACATGCGAAAAGTGCGGGAATTTGAAACGTATACGTACTTATAATGCTTGAGTTTCAGTTATAAAAGAATATATCTAATAAATCTTTATCTTACTAAACGGATGAATCCATATTATATTAAAAATAATGAATTATTACTTGTTATTCATTCTGAGTAACGCTGACGTGAAAAGAAAAGTGCGGAAGGGCAGAATCCTTTCTTCCGCCTATCATTTAACTAATATCTATTATAAAAATAAAAAGCAATCCCCAAACAGTGCGAATATGAATCGTAATACAGAAACGAGTAACGAGGAACCAGACAGGCCCTCCTCCAAAGCAGCACATGCTATGGAGGGGGGGAGGAGATGATTTTGCCTACGATTCATGATATATTCCTAAGCCTACTTAAAACTTAATTGATTCAACCGTTATTGAGATCCAATAATATCTCGCAACTCTTCTATTCGCGTAAAGATATACAATAGTGTATCAGTTGTCATATATGACTTGAGACACTACCGTGTCTTCTGATAAAACTCTTGCTAATCTTTTCAGTATCCATTATTTTTAATATAATATAGATAGATTCATCCGTTTA